GGGTAATGCCAGCCTCATAGAATGATTTCAAAAGTTCTCCTTCCTGGGGCACCTGGGTGGCTCAGTGGGTTAAGCCTCTGCCTTCGGCTCAGGTCATGATCTCAGGGTCCTGGGATCGAGCCCCGCATCGGGTTCTCTGCTCGGCGGTGAGCCTGCTTCCCCCTCTCTCTGCCTGCCTCTCTGTCTACTTGTGCTCTCTCTCTCTCTCTGTCAAATAAATAAATAAATAAAATCTTTAAAAAAAAAAAAAAAAAAAAGTTCTCCTTCCTCTTCTGTTTTTTGGAATAGTTTGAGAAGAACAGGTATTCCTTAAACTTTTGGTAGAATTCACTTGTGAAGCCATCCGGTCCTGGACTTTTGTCTGTTGGGAGTTTCTTTATTACGGATTCAATTTCATTGCTGGTAATCACTGTGCTCAAATTTTCTATTTCTTCCTGCTTCAGTTTTGGTAGGTTGTTATGTTTCTAGGAATTTATCCATTTCTTCCAAGGTTTTCAAATTTGTTGACACGTAATTTTTCATAATATTTTCCTGTAATTGTTTATATTTCTGTGGTATTGGTTGTTACTTGTCCCCTTTCATTTATGATTTTGCTTATTTGACTCCTCTCTTTTTTCTTCTTGCTGCATCTGTGTGAAAATTTATCAATTCTGATCTTTTCAAAGGACCAGCTCCTGGTTTTATTGATCTATTGTTTGAGTTTCCATATCATTTATCTCTGCTCTAATCTTTATTATTTCCTTCCTTTCTGCTGGTTGGGGGTTTTATTTGTTCTTTTTCCAGCTCCTTTATGTATAATGGCTCACACACCTTGGGGAAAAACATGGCATTATCTGGCTGAAGTTAAACCTATGAACCAACACTACTTTTAGGTTTATTAACTCCTGGGAAATCTCTTGTCAATTCAGAAACAGAGGGATATTTGAGTAGTACTCTTTGTAACTAAAAACAAAAACACAGGAAACCACCAAATATCCACTAACAGAAAAATTAATAAATCAGGGCATATTCATACAACACAAGATATAAAAATAGATTGAAGAAACATTATAGGTATATCTCACAAACACTGAAAAGAGCAAGTCACAGAATTATATTCACTATCCATTTATATAAACAACATGCAAAATGAAGTAGTGTATTAAAGAATAATACTCATTTATAATAAAACAATAAAGACAATAAAGTAAATAATATCAAATTCATGATAGTGGTTACCTCTAAAGGAAAGGAGAGATGTTATTAGAGAAGAACATATGAGGAGGAGATCTCAAAGCAAAGAGAACGCTATTTCTTAGGCAGGGTGGGTAGGTACATGATTTTTTTTCTCCCTATTCTTTAATAGCAAATAATATAAATACTATACTGAATCTATTAAAGATTTAATGAAAACAAGTTTTAAAAGATAAACCCCAAAATATAAAAAGTGAACACATACAAAAGTGTTCACTGTTTTTAGGAATAAATCAATGCAAACTAAAGTACCATTTAAACTGATTAACAACAGATACCCTACCTAAACAGCATTGTTTAGAGCAAAGTACACTTGCATACTTGACACTTTTAATACTTAGAAACTTTGTGCAATGCATGATGTATTAAGGGCCAATAAAAATGTTCATGTACTTTGGCTCAGTCATCTTAGATTAAAATTTTAACAAAAGAAAAAAAGAGGTACAGCCACTGTGGAAAATAGAATAGAGGTTCCTCAAAAAATTAACAGAAATACCGTATGATCCAATAATTTCACTATGGAGTATTTACCTAAAGAAAATGAAAACACTAATTTGTAAAGATACTTGCGTCCCTATGTTTACTGCAGCATTATTTACATTAGCCAAGATATGGAAGCAACCTAAGTGTCCACTGATAGATAAGTGGATAAAGAAGATGTGATACACACACACACACACACACACACACACACACACACACAGAGGAATATCACTCAGCCATAAAAAGGAGGGTATCTTGCCATTTGTAACAACATGAGTGGACGTAGAGGGTATTTTCCTAGGTGGAATAAGCCCCAGAATCAGACTACAAATACAGAGAACAAACTAATAGATGCTAGGGGGAAGTGCAGTAGAGGTAAAGGGGATTGGGAGACACATGCTTTCAGTTATGCAATGAGTAGGTCATAGGCATAAAAGGCCCAGCTTAGGGAGCATAGTCAATGGTATTGTTCTAGTGTACAATGACAGACAGTAGCTACACCTGTGAGCACAGCATAAGGTATAGAGAAGGTGAATCACTATGTTGTACCCTGGAAACTAATGTAACATTATGTGCCAACTATACTCAAAAAAAAAAAAAAAGAAAGATCCAATGCACTGGTGAATCACAGCACACTTAAATTCAACTTAAATTCAAATATTTGATATAATATAACCATTACAAAGTTTTAACTTTAATTGAAAAATAAAAAGATTATATATATACTGTGAGTGAGCTTTATAAACATATGCATATGATATAAAAAATAATATGTAACAAAAATTAAAAAGATAGCATGACTTGAACAAAACAGTAACAAAAATGGCTATAACTTTCTTGATAAGGTTTATATTATGTAGAAGGTTTTCTTCTTTTTGTCATTTAAGAAGAAAACCTTCTCTAAGTTGGTAATACTTAAAAAGACCAGCAGACTACAGAAATTCATCACCTTATCAACAACATACATAAGGAGGAGGACATGTGATTTAAAATGTAGTCAAAACAACAGCAAAAAAAGAAATAACCGTCTCTACTTAAATGTCTAGGCCCTAAACTAGTATGTATTGTTCCAAGATCATCCGGCACACAAAGATAACAGAGTGGTTTTGGTTGTTCTCCAAAACTTCCCTAATAATAAAAATAATGCTAGATGTGCCTGGGTGACTCAGTGGGTTAAGCCTCTGCTTTCGGCTCAGGTCATGATCTCAGGGTCCTGGGATCAAGCCCCGCATCGGGCTCTCTGCTTGGCGGGGAGCCTGCTTCCCCCCGCAACCCCCACCCTGCCTGTCTGTCTGCCTCTCTGCCTACTTGAGATCTCTGTCAAATAAATAACTAAATAACTAAATAAATAATCTTAAAAAAATGCTAGAAATCAGTCAATTCTACAAGTATAAAGTAGATTTCTTTATTTTACCACCACAGTTCATCTATTCCATACATTAGAAGCTATGTTTTCTGTTGTCTCCTAAAACCAAACTGAGAAGATAATCTGGCCTAATAATAAGATTCTGGAATCTCAGATTTCCAATGAAGCTTTCTGAAGCCTTTTAAAAAGACAGTCACCATGTTCAGGCAGGAGAAACTGACAATTCATGATAGCTATTGCAATGAGAATGGGGGAAATTCCATTCTAAAATACTTGAACTTGTTAGCATTCCTCATAATTTTATGATGGCAAAAGAGATGTGATATTATTTCTAACCCTGATAAAGCTGTTCAGTGACTGACTTGATAAGAGAAACCATAACAAGGAGTCAAAGACCGGGTTCCAAAGCCACGTCGTTAGGTGACCATCATGTCATTTCCTGAATGGTACACAAGGCTCTCTTATGGTCCAGTCTAGGTTGACTTACCCCGTATCCGACTGCTTGTCTTTACAGAGTTAAAAAAACTTTACAGAGTTCCAGCTTCATTAAACTATTCACCTTTCTCAGAACAGTCTCTAAACTTTGCGCGTGATCTGTTTTTTTCTTTTCTATTAAGTAGACCCTTCTCCTCCACGTTTCTGCCTGAAAAACTAATACTCATCCTTCAAGGTCCGTATCAAATGTCGAATTCTCTGGGAAACCTTCCCGGGCATCCCCCTGTAAAATTAATCATTCTCTCTACTGTCAAGCTTACATTACAGTGTTGGTAAAGCAGAAATCAGTCTCAAGTTGATAAATGACTGTTTGTTTCCTATTGTTTCAAAATTTGATATTTACCAAACACCTATTTATTATGTGCCAAGTATTATCTGTGCAGAAGAGAGTTAACTGCAGGCCTGAGACTGGTATCCTTCAAAGGCCTATTTGCAAGGTTGGTCCTTGGTTAGCAGCTGGGAGTTGGGATTTCGGGAGGTAATCGTTTCCAGAAGATAAGAGTGGCTCACTGTGCCTACACTATTTATACAAACATTATGGCTTCTGCTGAACACCTGCTTTCAGAATTCTGGTATCTGCCAGGGAGAAGGTGCCCACAGGAATAGCCCCCAACAACAATCTGGGCACGGACTCCCTAGTGAGCTTCTGGGTCGACATTTCACGCATGCTATCCCAGCTCACGGAGGGAGGAGTCAGGGGCTCCTGTGTGAATCCCCTGAGAGAGGATTTCAGAGCCTACACCTGGAGCCCCCCAGGCTTCCAACACAGTGCCTTTTCCCTGTGAGTATTTTACTTTGTCCCTTTCCATAGAAATCAATCACAGCTGTGACTACAGCTATACGCAGACTCCTATGAGTCCTCCTACAGCATTAAAACTGGGGGTGTCCTGGGGACCCTGAGACACCCATGTATTATTTCATCTAACTTGCACAACCTCCCTCTGGGAAGGAGATTATTACGATCATCCTTATTTAACAGATTAGAAAATGAAGGATCACAGAGATTAAGTGACCTGAAATAGGACACACAATGACAGAGACAAGATGTGAACACAAATTTTCTGCTTCCAAGTTTGTTGCCTGTGTGTTTCCTGAGGGAAGGGAAGCAAAAACTTTCACACTGAAGGTTCACAATAAACAACAACTCACAGGTTAAACAGCTAAATAGTCTAATAGTTTCAAGTTAAAAAAAATTGGGGGTCTACACTTTTCTAAATCTTTAAAATTAAAAATATGGCAATATAAAGTATTAGAGGTGGGGGGACATACACCCTGAAGGAATAGTAAGTCATGCACAAACTGTTCCTCATCATGAGCCACTTTCCTAGATTTTTCTCCCTTCAATGGTCCCTTAAGCCCCCACACCATTCTGTGGTTTGGACATTCTCAATTTGAGGGTCTTTACGCAGGAAGCCTTCAGTACCTTTTAGTAAAATCTTTGAAGCACAGTCGTAGTTTATTATGATGTCTGAAGAGCTTTGGGTCACTGGGTATTTCAGACAGAAAAACCTGGGCAACTTCCAAAGGCCCCTGTAAAATAAAATAAAAGTGTGTTTTTGTCTTCTCTAAAATCAGAGGAAGAATATGCCTAAATGATTTTTTCTCAGCACTGAGATGGCTGCATTTAAGCTTAATGCGTCTATGTCTATATTGAAACTTCTCAGGGCACCCAGACAACTCAGTCAGTTAAGTATCAGACTCTGGTTCAGGTCATGATCTCAGGGTCATGAGATCGAATCCGCTGTCCTGCTGTGGCTCAGCAAGCAGTCTGCTTGAGATCTCTCCCTCCCTCTCTCTCTACCTCTGCCTCTCCCCACCCTTGAGTGTACTCCCTCTCTCTAAAATAAATACATCTTTAAGAACAAAATACAGGGCGCCTGGGTGGCTCAGTGGGTTAAAGCCTCTGCCTTCGGCTTAGGTCATGATCTCAGGATCTGGGATCGAGGCCCGCATCGGGCTCTCTGCTCAGCAGGGAGCCTGCTTCCCCCTCTCTCTCTGCCTGCCTCTCTGCCTACTTGTGATCTCTGTCTGTCAAATAAATAAATAAAATCTTAAAAAAAAAAAAAGTACAAAATACAAAAAAACCTTCTCAGACAGATTCTGGCCATATATCTTAAGCTTCTCCTAATGTCAAATCTATATGCTTAGGTACTGTAATTAAATCAATGAGTATTTTTCAATGAAAAAGAGTAGGGGTTCAAGGACTATTATATTCATCAATGCATTTTTGCCTTATACATTTTACATTCCTTAATTTACCCTGGATGCAATCAGTTGTCAAGCCACTGGTTATTAGATACTTGATTCTGCTAAAATAGCTCCCCTCAATATTCCAAATGTGTTCTAACACTGCAAATTAAAAGATGATCCCTTGGAGTGTTGTATCATTTGGAAGTAAAACCCCCAAATCATTTGTGTTTTGAGGGGTAAAGGTATTAAAAATATTTGTTTCTACTTTGGGAGGGCACTTTTTGGCTTTGTTTCTTTAACCTAAAATATAGGTAAGATATGTGATATGAGTTCTTACTTGAAGCCTTTCTGGATTTTCCCTTACCCTAGAATATTCCCTAATCATCAGTAAAAGGATTTGAATGAACCCACTACAAGGAGATAACGGGATGGCTCCTAATCTGCATATAACAAAGCAACAATTGTATCTTATGCTCATATATTATTAAAATTTTCAAAGCAATTCCACATTACTTATTTCCTCCTCATGACTCACTGTGAAGGAGAGCTGGAGAAGATAACCTCAGGGAGTATGTAAGGAAGGAGGCATTCACATGTACCATCTGAGCTCTAAAAACGAGACTTTTTAAGATCACGTTCTTTCAGTACAAGGTTTTAAAGGAAAGGCCATGTCAAGTGAATCAGTTCCTTCTTAACAGAATGTTTAAGAACAGGTAAGGAGGACGCCTGGGTGGCTCAGTGGGTTAAGCCTCTGCCTTCAGCTTGGGTCATGATCTCAGGGTCCTGGGATCAAGCCCCACATAGGGCTCTCTGCTCAGCAGGGAGCCTGCTTGCCCCTCTCTTTCTGCCTGCTTCTCTACTTGTGATCTCTCTCTGTCAAATAAATAAATAAAATCTTAAAAAAAAAAAAAGAACAGATAAGTAGAAAAATACAAGCAGCACAGAGGGCAGGCATGAAAACCTTAATAACTGCATCTATACTAAAAAGATTTTTTTCAGTCTATCTTCATTTATACTTCGTGTCTTTTGCAAACCACTCCTAACATGTATCTCTTTCCACTTAATCTGATGGTCGTGGCCTTTGTGAAACATACTCATGGAATCATTTCCAATTCCACTTATGCCTGAAATCATGGAGGACCACGCACCTGATTCACCGTTGTGCCTACAGACCCCTGGAGCACCATCTGAAGCATTTTGGGGTCCGCTGGATCCTGATGTGTTGCAAATGCCAACTCCTGGGTCTTTTTCTGCATGTCCTCAATGGCAACTTCAATTGGAGTTAAGATGATCTGGGTGAAATAACATCTGTTAGGTCAATGCGCTGACTGAAAACTATTTAATGAGCCTGATAGAGAATCTTTTTTTTTTTAAAGTGGAGATGAACTATAAACTGTTTTCTAGTAATAGAAATCCAAACTTTAGATTCCTAAATGGGTGGAAAAAAAAAAAAAAGCCAGCCTTTTAAAGCATAAGCCAAGGGTAAACTAGCGATTTAGAAAAGAAGCCCAAATTAATGACTCAAGAATGGGCAAAGTTCGCGGACGCTGCCATGTGAGCAGCGGCACAAGATACCACACCCACACAGTTCTCACGTGGCTCCCATGTCTTTGTTTTGCTCATCCTATTCCCGTCTGGGGACTTACCTCCTCTTTGTGGGTGACATTGACCCTTGTCTTAATATAAGGAAAGGCATGAGAAGTAGTCAGAATGGTCTTCCGTTTAAACTGTTCATGAAGTTCCCCATGGGCACGGCCGTCTAAAGTGAAGGGCGTACAGTACATGAAACGGCGAAGATTATAGTTCTTGTCAAAATAGGTGATTCTGTCCTTCATTTCATATGTGTCAAAGTACGGCTCCACATAGGTAATCTGAATGTATGCCTGGGGGGGGAAAAAGGCCTTCATTTTGTCACTGTTAAATCATCATTCA